CTATCTATCTATCTATCTATCTATCTATCTATCTATCTATCTATCTACTGATGGATCACCTTGTTTTTAAAGCAAAGCTACACTCTCATAGTGGTTCACTGACATGTGTTGTTACGCAGGAAGTTGTGTCTTTTTGTGTGTTTGTGGATGTGGTTACATGACTTTCTTCTTCCCGTGGCAGAACATCACCAAGGACTATAAGATCGTCGGGGCGTACACGGATGGGATCAACGTGCTGGGCCTCATCGTGTTCTGCGTCGCCTTCGGCCTCGTCATTGGAAAGATGGGAGAAAAGGGCCGAATCCTGCTGGAGTTTTTTGACGCTCTGAATGAAGCCACCATGAAACTGGTCCAGATAATTATGTGGTATGTATGAAACAAATGACGGCTTTTTCCACTGAATGAGCACACTTTTGGAGCAGTCTTAAACAATAACCTGTGTTATTTCCTATAGATTTGGTGAAAATCAAAATGATAAGCCCTTATTTATGTAGATAGGAAAGCTTTATCTAATTTTCACAATAGAACTATCATTTTAACAAATACACATTTCCTCAAGGTGTATAACCAGGTTGTTTTTAAGGATTTCTTTAGGATCTCAAACCTAAATCACAACACATTCTAATAAGAAACTACTACATGAAGTCTTTGAACAGACCATAAGTGTTTAACCATGATTAACATCATAACAGCATAACATCAGCAAAAATAAGATGATATTCTCAGTAAGAACATTTTGTCAGTTGCAAATAATCATATATATCTGGCATATGTCAATATTATCAACTTACATTACTTAACAACATAAACTGTGTTTTTAGCTATGACTATCACATTAACCTGAGATCATCATAAGCATAACAAATCATAACAAATTATTGTCCAGATTGAGCCACTTTCATATAAAATAGTGCACAGTTGTAGATAGAAAAGTCAGAAAAGTAATAGGATCTAGTTGTGGAATATTTTAATACCCAGATCCCATGAATCACTTAGCTTTTTAAGTTTCCTTCAAACAACATTGAAACATTCTAAATTCAAATTATTTTCCCTGGTATCACTACGTCCAAAGGCTTAGTAATTCTATTTTTTTACTCTGGAACATTAGGGGCACAAATAACCAAATACCTGTGAGTCTTGATTTAATAGATGTTAGTGATTTTCAACCAATAGGCCAAATTTCAACACAAACACCATGATAGTAGGTATCTACTATCACAGATAAAGATACACAGATAAAGCTAAAATACCTAAACCAAGACAAAAATAGCTTAAGATGGCTGTTGGTTTACTCACTTTGGTGACAAATGGTGTATTTCCCTGATTTGTAAGAGGGCTGTTGCCAATATTGACCATAAGACATTAAGAGTAACAACAAAGAGGCTTTTTTTGATGGACCTGTTGCTGGTCTAGGTGTTGTATTATGTATTATGCAAGATAGATTTAGTAAAAATAGCATAAAGAGTTTAATTTAACTTCAGTCTTATTTCCTTACATTTCCTTACAATACATTGGTGTAACAACACTGTATACCTCCTGTCATCACGTAAATTTGTATATTTTCAACATGTCTGTTATATTTCTAACTTCCTAGTTTGGAAATAAATCTGTAGAACGTGTAACTATTTAAAATCGTGTCATGTCCACAGACGGTTACTTTCTCCTTATTACATTGAATCATCCATGCCCTTATTCCTGGAAGTTCAAAACAAAACACTCAACAGATATTCATATCCAGCATTTGATACATTTAGAACAGTCTGTGTGGCAGAAATCTTTAGATATTTGCTGAGCATAGTACATTTTCACACTGAAAAAAAAAAGTCCTAACGGAAAAAAAACATAGTAACCATCTTGAAAATATCGTATGAGACGATGAAAATGTATGAGTGTATGTGAATTATTATGTAAATTCTCGAAACACTGTTGGAATTTTTTTTTTTTTTGTTAATTCACCTGCTAAGTTAGCTAACTCCAGCTCTTACTGGATCTGCTTTTTCAGCTACATGCCTGTTGGGATCCTGTTCCTCATTGCTGCAAAGATCATTGAGGTGGAAGACTGGGAGATCTTCCGGAAGATGGGTCTTTATATGGTGACTGTGCTGAGTGGGTAAGCTGCCCCATTACTCTGTGTCCGCCTGTTCCAGATACTGGGATTTATAGTTGCCATTTGGGCCGATTCTTCTCTCGGTGATACAGTAAAAGCTGAGCTCTGGGCGGGTCTGATAAGGGCCAAGGACATTTAAAACTGCCTAACCTGCAGATGCAATAATGAAAGGTTTGCTCACGCCTCTAAATTTTAGTGACACAGTTAAAGACTTGACCATAAATCCTCTTCTCTTTGGGTCAAAGGGTGGGCTGAAGGTTTCAAACTATTTGTTTGACATATTTAGGCTTTTTTAAAGAATGCTCAGACTTTCTGGTATTGTTGGTCCTGCACCAGGCTAACAGTGGGAGCAACATTTTGGATGTCAGAATCCACATATAAGCTACAAAGGTGCCTTAGCTTCAGTCGAAAGGGAATTAAATGACATTAACACTGTTGCCCGTTGTCTACAGGTGTTTACCTGTTATCAATTTATGTGACTTGACCGTTCATTTTGATTACAAGCTTCATAAAACTTATGAGAATTAAAGTACACTCAACCATTAAGGGGCTTCAGGTATCACACCAGTAAACATCTTACCTTTTACAGAGAGTGGTAAAAAATAAAACTATTAGAATAAAGTCGCGATTCAGCATATTGAAATGTAAATTACCAGTTTTGTCTGCCTTAATATTTAAAAATATGAATAAAGTCCTACAGCCAAGGATGTTTCAAATGTGACTTGATATAATCTGATAAAAACCTAATTTTATCATTACAAAAACACAAAAAAGAAATGCATTCTCTGTTAGGCTGTCAGTATAGCTGTCTTCAGAGATAATCAGATGTTAACCTATCTGTAACCAGAGGCACATTTCAGACAAGACTGTCCTCTGGTCAGGCTTTTATTTATAAAAAGGAAACAAATCAAAAAAGGCCTTGTTCCCAAAAATCTTAAACAAAAGCCAGATTTTTCATAACCTAGTGTAACAATAGTTATTATTTTACAAGTCTTTATGGAAGCCAATCTGTTGATTTATACATCAGGTGGAAACCTGAAAAATCCCAAATTTTTGCAGGCAAGTAAACAAACTTTGGGCCTCAAATTGCATGAAATAGGTCCATCCATCCATCCATCCATCCATCCATCCATCCATCCATCCATCCATCCATCCACCCATTTCTCTCCCGAACTTACATTCTCAGAAAAGAAAGCACCTAATTGTACCTTTAGTTCCAAAGGCTTGTCTCTGAGATGGTACTCTCAAAGGTCTTGCTGTTGGACCCTTGTAGCTCTTCTGTTTACTCAGTGGGAACATAGGTAAACCATTCAGGGCCTCTGAAAGTACAAATATGTGGTTAGGATACAGGATACAGCTTTGCCATATAGAGTAGAGAAGGTACCTCAGGTGACATAATGGTCCTCATTTTGCTCCCATTCTGCCATCACCATTAAAAAGCAAGTGAAAACAGAATAATGTCTTCTGGACTTTAAGAATTTGCTTTTAAAATGCGGCCTGCAGCCATTATCTGCTGCGTCTTTGGGGAAGACAGTGTACAACTCGGATAAAACTCTAGTCCATTCCAGGGACCAACAACCATATGCGCCCAATTAGGAGTCACCAATCGACCCAACATACGTCTTTTTGGATGGATGTAGGAAGCCTGTGCTAACCATACATATGGAAATAGTATGATCTTCTAACAGAAAGGCCCAAAGAACAAGAAACCTTTCAGAGGGGATATCCAAGCTGTCCTGCTAGATTGACACCTGTTTACACTTTATAATAACATTCAGAATTCTTACGGTACAATATTACTACAGCAAGGCAGTTTCCTTTATCAGACATGTTTTATCCAGCTATCAAATACATTTTGATGGTTTTATTTTGCTTTTCCTCCATGCTTCAAACCCTTTTAGAGACTCTGGATTTGTGCAAATATCTCCAGTATAACTTTTCTCTTTTCAGTCTAGCCATTCACGCGACCATCTGTCTGCCGCTCATCTTCTTCATCGTGGTGAGGAAGAATCCGTACACGTTCACTCTGGGAATGGCTCAGGCCCTGGTGACGGCGCTCATGATCTCCTCCAGGTCAGCAAAGAAGGCCGTTGCCTTCCCCCTCCTCACCAATCAAAGACCCCAAAGGCGAATCAAAACCTCTGTGGGCTTTTTTTCTGCTTCTCCTAATGCCTCTCAGCTCCGCCACCCTGCCCGTCACCTTCCGATGCGCCGAGGAGAATAACGGCATCGACAAGAGGATCACGCGCTTCGTGCTGCCAGTGGGGGCCACCATCAACATGGACGGCACCGCCCTCTACGAGGCGGTGGCAGCCATTTTCATCGCCCAGCTGAACGACTATGCTCTGGACGTGGGACAGATTGTCACCATCAGGTACCTCGCCGTTACTTAACCTCCTGAGACCCTGTGTCCTCATAAGAGGACGTTGCATTTTTGTCTCTCTTTACCATGATACTTCTTTTTTTCTTTCAGCTTTGACCTCTTGGCCTCATAGCAGATGCTATCAGACACTGTTTGAAATCTAAAGTAAAATGGTTTTATACATTTCCATCCAATCATGTTCTTATTGTGTAATAGAAAAACTGTAAATGAGTCAATGGGACTGTCAGAACAAAATTGTAAAAACATTTAATTAAATATGTATCTCATATATCTTTAAAAAAAAAGCTAAAATGCATGCCAAATAAAAGCTCGGGTCTCAGGAGGTTAAGAATGGAAGACAAAACTGGATTTTAACTGTACTGTGAACCAAAAGAACGATCTGTTATTGTAGAGACAGGAAAATATTTCCACCCACAAATTTGATCTGCCAACTACATATTTCTATTTAACTCAGGACCTCCACTATTTCCTGTCCTAGTACATAAAGATGATTTGTTTAGGTCTAATGGGGTATGGAAATTAAGAGGACTGAAGACACATTTGTCTCTTTTTATTTTACGTATTTACTGAGTGGTCTTAATGAGACCTCGGGTGAGCATACCCACACTGGAGTAACACCCACCTCTCACATTTGTTCCAAAATCTTTAAAAAACATCTCAGCCCAACATGATCTCACATTATTCAAACATTTAAATAGTAATTGTAATTTAACTGTTTTCAGTTTGGGATTACTATGTCAGCATGATGGCTTAATTCACCTGTTGTTAATGTAATTTGTACATTATTTTTATTAGCAGAAAGCATAAATCTATCTGACTGATTTTAATTCCAACCACTTATGAGTGGTCAGTAGAAATCTTTCTAAGGCAAGGCAAGGCCAGTTTATTGTACTACACATTTTGTGTACAAGACAATTCAAAGGGCTTTAGAAACACTGTAAAAGCCGAAAAACAAAGAAAGAAAAAGAATCAACTAAATTAATTAGATAGATAAAACATGAAGGATGCAGATAAGCATTTTTGCTTTCATACATCAAGGTACCTAAAGCATCAAACAAAGTTATTACACAGGAGAAATTCAGTTAGCCGTTGATAGACGACTTTTTCCAGGACTTTCCCTAAGAATGGCTGCAGATGAGCTCCAGAACTGTTCTATCAGTGACCGCTGGAAACTGTCTCAGCTCTAGATGTCTGACTGGGGGCAGGGGAGTTATTTCTGTTGTGGAAACAATTGCCATTTTAATGCCTAGAACCTTGTCATGAAAGAATATTGCAAACTCCTGACATTTGGATGCAGAAGTTTGTTAGTTTGCTCAAAGTAGCAAACAGGACACCAGAGTTGTTCCCACAGATTTGAATGATTTCAGAAAAAGAACTCTTTCTTGTTCTACACAAAGTCTGGTTGAAAACACACAACTTTTGTCTGTAGATCTCAAAATGAACCACTGGGATGGGATAGTTTTACTTAAAAATAAGAACAGAGCCGATCAGTGAACATTTGCCAAAACTCCATGTTAAACATTGTGAAGATGTAAGACATTTAAAACATAAGATATAATATTATATTAAGATGAGGGTCACTGGACCATCGTTAAGACTTCCTTACAACATTTGCATTTGCAATAGCTGGTGACATTTTGTATGTAGGAGTTATCGTGGTTTAGTTGTTAAACTTTTTGCCCTCTCTTCAGGTTATGTTGTCATGAATTAATCTTTTTTTCTTCTTCTTTCTCGCTGCCTATTTGCTTTAGTATCACAGCAACAGTTGCAAGTATTGGAGCAGCGGGAGTCCCTAACGCTGGGCTGGTTACCATGGTGATAGTCTTAACAGCTGTCGGATTACCTGCCAGTGACGTCACTCTGATAGTTGCTGTTGATTGGCTGCTGTAAGTGCTTGTTTATCTTTTCTGTGACAAAACACGAGCTGAGTTTCAGGAAATGCTTGAAATAATAGGGAATAGTGGTCTGACTGAAATATCCTATATAACAGTAATCTCTGTTTTCTTCCATATTATATTGAATTTATTTATTCTTAAAATTAATCCAATTTAAAGCAGTTCTGTCCGATTAAATCAAATTCAATATTTATTTTATATGATATAACTTTACAAAATGCTGATGAATGACAGTAAGGAAATGAAGTTAAGCTCTGATGGGCAGATGAATAAATGGTTAATCTTATCGTACTTTGCAGACACTTATAACAGCATTACTCTGATCTGATCTAGACACTGCCATGTAGCATAACCTAGATAAGCCGCATACGCCATATTGCTCATATTCCTGGTTGTTGAACGTGTACACTACAGATACACAAAGCTTTCCTGGTTTTTGCAACAGGATCCTTCAAAAAGTCTTTTTGAAATCCTTCAAAAAGAGTTCAGTGCAGAGCAAAAAGAAAGCAAACACTTAGTGACTTAATGACTTAGCCTTTGTTAACGTGACACACCCTGGAATTACTGCACGTGCACACATAACATTTAAACAGTATATTGTGCAGCCCCTTCAAAATACAGGAACAGTTCTGATTCCCTGTAACTTCTGCTTTCAGGGATCGATTCCGCACCATGATCAACGTTCTGGGTGATGCTTACGGAGCCGGAATCGTTCAGAAACTATCCAAGAGGGAACTAGAGAGGATTGACCTGATATCGGACGTGGACGTGGCCAATCCGTTTGCCCTCGAGGCCACCCTGGACGACGAGGAGTGTGAGAAGAAATCCTACGTCAACGGAGGCTTCACCGTGGACAAGACGGACGCCATCTCCTTCACAGAGACCTCGCAGTTCTAGCTGCAGGAGGAGGAGCTCAGAGGAGCGCTCAAAGTGCCACCCTGCTGCGGCTGAGATGAGAAAAACCTCCCATCATGCACCGGCCCCATAAAGAGAGAAAACGCTACCCCACCAGCCCAGTCAGGCGCCGTCATCAGCAATAGCTGCCTTCATCAAGCTAAGTCAATACAGCCACCCGCCATTTTGGACATTTATAACAAACACTTACGGTAATTCAAGTGCTTCCTTACAACACTTAAACTGTGCCAAGATTAAGAAAAGTCTGCTTGTCTGCGTGGGAGAATATTTTTGGATGTATCTGATGTGTGTGCGTCTGTAGTTAGCAAAAAAACAACAAATCTGTTCAGACTGATAAAAATCTAATGATTAGATGGCAAACAAAATGTCTGACCGGTTCCTTTTTGTGGGCTGTTGTTTAAAATCTATATTGCACTGCTTGTACATTAATATAACTGTGTATCTACATGTATAACATGTTTAAATGTGCCAAACTTAGACTTTTATTTCGTTCGTTGGTTTGTTTTTCGAAGCTGCATGAGGCAATATGTGAAAGAAAAGCGGATCGCTGACTGCACATATTCTGAGGGAACCTCTGACAAACAGACTGATGAAGTCAAGGAACACTGTGAACTCTGAAAACATTCTACAGAGCCAGTTCTCTGGCATTTAACCATGTATTACAAAATATCAAAGTTGTCTTTGTTCAGAAAATGTAGGGAGGGTGTACAGTATACTAAATACTCCAAAATGCACGTACTTTAGTGGGAACTTTTCAGTTGTTTAAGCAATTTTGTCGCTGTTTTTCTACATATATTCTTCCACAACTTAACAAGCATATTATTCAATATGGTCTAAGATCAGAAGTAGCTCAGATGCTCACAAAACAGTGTGGGTCCAGAAGACAGAAGAAAAATGTACAAACATATTAATTTGAAGAGGACATGATTATTGTTATTAGGGTTAATAGAAACAAACTTCTTTTGGGTTGAGAGAGGCACCTCAGAGGTGCACCAATAAATTTAAATAATCCTGTGACCCCAAATATTACACCGTTGTGTTCATTCCATTCGTATGGACATCCCGTAACACACATCTATGTAGGTAGGTAGTTTATTTATCCACAAGCCGAATCATCTTACCTCACTTTTTCACACATTATTTGTCGAATTAAAATGCCAAATGTGTACTTATAGGACATGGGATATGGTAGGTACTTACATTTTAAAGTCATGTTTTTGCTTCAAGTTAAAGATCTACTGACTTTAGACTGTAGACTGAACTGCAAAAAAGCAGCAGCTGTTCCCTTTCACTCAATTCTTTCTTATTTGGTTTGCATCTGAACGATACGATCCATTAAAGTAATACACTTAAAAACTTTGTTGACATTTCTATGGATGAAGTCACTCAAAAAGGCCAAATCTGCTTCTCTGCCTCTTTTTTTCCGTGCTCATTTTTGCAGGATCTGATCATCCGAACGCTTTCCTAATTTTTGTATGTAAAGAATCAAGTTGTCTTGATGAGGTTTGGTGCCTCTATCATTTTCCAGAACTGGTCGTATATTTAACCGCTTTCAGATTTAATTCCCACCTGACAGAGATGCTTCATTGTAACGTGATAAAGACCATTCAGGATGACTCACTGATTTGCAGTGAGCCTACTCTGTAATGGAGACACAAATGTCCCCACAGCAGAAAGGGGATTTCAGATCTCCGGACTGTCGGTAGGATTTATGAATCCCGTTTTTGAATCCAAGGCACAGTAAAATGGCGGATAACTACATGATGTGCACAATTGATGCTGTAAATTCTACAAGAGTTTGAACAGGAACACAAACATGCTGACCATTTAGATCAGGTATGCCAAATAGTCTGATTTTTTTAAAGTATAAAATCCTCACAGTGATATATAGTAAGATACAGTCAGTAATTATATTCTTAAACTTAAAAGTCTTAATTCATGATAATTAGACTGATAAGCAAAACAACCAATATGTGCACTGAACTGTTTAAATTAGAAAAACTTACTGTAGGGGGAAATAATAACTAGCTGCTATCATCATGTCATCATTCGGCAGGAAACTCTTAGAGGAAGAATTCTATTTCAACAGTTAGATTGGCATTTAAAGGCCCTACTGTCCGAGGAAAGAGATTGCAGGAATTATGTTAATATTTATATGTTAGATGCCGATCTATCCAGGGTAAATGCTGCAAAAATGCTAAAAAATGTCAAATCTGAACTAATCTGAAAATATCACAAGTATATGTACAGACTCACATTAAATTGTTCTTTTGTGCTTATGGACAGAAAAATAACCACATGGAAGAAAAGACTGTGTTTTAAGAATTATGTTAAAATGATACATCACAATTAAAATGCAACAATTCCTAAATTTGAAGTTAAAATGTTAGAGATAAACACACTTCTGTCAATCTGAAAAGCTGAGTTTCCTTCCTGTTCAACTGTAAGGGATCTGTGATAACTTTACTTAAAATGGTGATTTTAAATAAATGACAGGTAGATCAAGGTCCTGTGAGTATTTTGTGGCAGCTGAAAAGTGAAAGGGCCAGAAGTTTAAACCTCATCACACAGTACAGTGTGTTCTATTCTGATCTGGACATTCAAACGTAGTTAGTTTTCTATTATTCATTTACCAGGCAAAACAATTCCCAAAAGATTTGCATCCCAAAACAGCAGCAATACTACGTCACAATGCTGAAACAGTTAAGGAAGACATCCAGTAACTCTTCCAGCATGAGACTGTCCTGGGGGGGGGGTTGGTGGTTCTGGGATCCTGCCCCTCAGCTCTGTGGTCAGCACACTGACCACGTCGCAGCTTTCTGTGTGAAACACTTTTGAGCAACAACTGATATTTCTAATCTGACTGCAGAAATGGATTCTGAGATCTTTCGGGTCCAAATATCTGTACTGGACACAGCCTTAAATAGGACGGGTCAGCAACCCTAAACATTCAAAGAGCCTTTTTAACCCGTTTCCCACAGAGAAACAAAGAGTGCCACAAAACCTTCCTGACATCTAAAATGATATTGGTGGATATATTGTTTTTTTTTTTTTATCTTAATACTATGTAGAATAATCTACGTTGTGCAATCATTAAAATCACATCACAAGGGTGGTTGTGACGCAGATTTTAAGCATTAATAAAAATCATGTTTTTGGTTTTTTTTGCAAAATCACAATAATCTTCTAATTCAGATTTATTCATATTTTTATTATTACGTCAAATCAAACAGATTTAAATGCCATCATTATCCTTTTTTCCCAAAGCCAAAGGGCTGAAAGAGCCACATACCCCCTCACCCTTTACTTAATGAGCTGTTCTAATGTGTCTTTTGCCCTTTTGTTTCTGAAATGAAAGCGTACCCTCTCTGTTGCCTCAGCCTTTTTACGTCTATCGCTTTGAGATGTAACACATTTCAAACCTGCTGTATATGTAATGAGGTTTTAATCACAACTGTGTTTATTATTTTGTATTCTGCCATAATGGACATGTCTGAATTGAATGATGAATTAAGGAATGTGCTTGTTTTGTTATATAAAATTTTGGATAACATGCAGATAAACTTTTTCCTTTCTCAGCCCACACCTGAAAAGCACACTATGGTTGCATCCATGCACTTTTTCTTTTTCCTTTATCTGTAACTAGCACTGCTGGTATGTGAAATGGCATGTACTACATTATGTGCAGGCAAGCGAATAAAACAAACAGCTGCTCATTCTTTGTCTTTTTTCACTCTGATTTTATTCAATTTTGGTTTGAGCAGGTTTATATTTCAGGAACCTCTTGTCCCACTTCACACCACTTTCACCCAAAGTGATGCTAATCGAATTTAGACAGTTCTCTCTGCTTGAACATTGGGAAATTATTCATATTTTCAAAAAAGAATCCACGAAAAAGACCCCGAACAAACAAAATAAACCAAAAAAAAAAAAAAACATGAAAATGCTAAAAGTCTGATTATGCTGTGAAATCCCAAACACAAACAAAGTGGAGAAAATTAAACAGATCACTAACAGAAGTAAAACAGTAATTTGGAATAAAGCTGGGGATATTAACTCTGGGCGGCACGGTGGTGTGGTGGTTAGCACTGTCGCCTCCCAGCAAGAGGGTTCTGGGTTCGAATCCCGGGGGAACCAGGACCTTTCTGGGTGGAGTTTGCATGTTCTCCCTGTGTCTGCGTGGGTTCTCTCCGGGTTCTCCGGCTTCCTCCCACAGTCCAAAAACCTGCATGTTAGGCTGATTGGAGATTGGGGAAATTGCCCTTAGGAGTGAATGTGAGTGTGAGTGGTTGTATGTCCTGTGTGTTGCCCTGCGATGGACTGGCGGACCGTCCAGGGTGTGCCCTGCCTCTCGCCCGTTGACCACTGGGATGGGCTCCAGTTCCCCCCGCGACCCCATGAGGGAATAAGCGGTATTGATAATGGATGGATGGATGGATGGATATTAACTCTGCAGGGAATGATGCTGTGAGAGGGACAAACAGGTTATAATAAAGCACACGGTGAACAGAAACATGAGGAACAACTAAGGACAGAGTGGGGAATCATAAAAGCAGTGAAAGAAAAAGAAACAAAAAATACATTTAAGAAAACAGGACTAAAAATGGAGACGATTATACAGCATTAAATAAGCTTGAACACTGTTTTTTTTTTTCTCTGGAGCTGCTCCACTCACGTTCTTTTAGAAGATCTAATTTCCTTCATTTGATTAGGACAGTGCACAGTAAGTGACATGTCAGCCATGGGTGTCTTGTCACGTTTTGTAGTCCTTCCCGTTTGGTCCCTAATCACCTCCACCTGTGTCTCAATGTTTTCCTCCCCGTCTGGTGTATTTATTCCCCAGCCTGCCTCTTGTTCGTTGCGTGTTCGTACTTGTCTTTTTGTCAGTCGTCCAACCATTCCTAGTCTCGTCTTGCCTCGTATTCCCGACCTTTGCCTGCCTGTTCTTGACGACCTGTTTTTGCCTGCTGCTTTTGTACCTTTGCCTGATCTTTATTGCCTGCCCGTGTACCGAGCATTTTTGGAAACGACTTTGATTCGATTCCCTTGCCTGGAGTCGTGCATTTGGGTCCTGGTGTTTACACCCGTGATAACATGCTACTTTTAATTCGTTGTCCTAAAGCAGATTGGAAATAAAACCCAATAGAAACATAACATTATGCATGCACACATTATCTCTTTTGTATTCCAGCACACACTTAGAGAAACATGTGTTTGAAAAGTAAGTGTTCTGTCGAATGAATCCACATGTATTGATTTAGTCATTTTCCTGGACAACCCAATTTTATGATTGGGTTGTTCAAATTCATTTCAAACTAAAAGAAAGCTCACCAGAGGATTCACAGTGATTTGAAAATCAAGGTGCTCATACCAAATACCAACCTCCTGTATTTCAGGGCTGGATGTCTTTATTATTAAACCGTTTTATCCAGAAAGCTTACGCCTTATTCAGAATTCCAAGACATTTAAGGTTACGAACAAACTCCATTCAGAAGCTGTATGCTAACCGCTGGATTACATATGTGCATACTCTTTAATTGTGAAAGATGGCAGGAAATGGCCGCACCATTTTGGTTTCTGTCCTGTCCAGTCTGAGGAAGAGCGAGGCGTAGCAGTGTGTGCTACACTAAAATAGACCCTGGTGTCAGCAGCGGTTGTCCAACAGATCACAATGTTCCTCATGTAGCTGGTGTTTAATGCCTCACACTCGCAAAGATCGCCCATTTCTGGAATAATATCGCAGTAGCTCACACAGAGCCGCCTTGCCATAGATCCCATTAACTTTTAATGGCCCTCTGGTGATTTAGCGGAGGACTCCACAATGTCAGCTCCCTGATGACAGTAAAGCCCGAACGCTGCCGCAAAGCCGGGCTCAGCACAAAAATGTTTATCGACATCATATTCTAATCGCATTCTTTTTGGAATCATCTAGACATCAAACCACTGCAACACACACATCTGTCTGAGGACTTAAGAGATGAGACGGTTTGTGTTTTGTTTTTCTAGCTAAACGGCAGATGTTCACATGACTGTCACATCACAGCATTGCTTTGTCATTAATGTCCGGGCCTAGATTGTCCTAAGCATTAATTTTACTGTAGGTCAAGTGACAAGAGAACTAAAGAGTTCATGTAAAGATGCATGTATGCAGCTTTACAAGACGTTATTTCCAAATCCAGCTAAGAGCATAGGTTACGTACGATACAGGCCAGGTCAGCAAGTAGGACCTGGAGAAATGGACCTCCTGGCCAAGACGGCGTCCACCTCAGAGACTGTGGCTCCCTAAAACACAACACCAGCGGGAGAGAAAAGACTTGTCACTTTCAGGCAGTAACACCTAACAGACTGAGCAGCTCAGTGAGACAGTGCTAACACAGACGGCTGCTTAGACCAAAAGGCTCGCCTCAACATCTGCAAGATGCTTTTAACTCATTAACTGCCAAAGACGTCTATAGAGGTCTTTTATGTTTTTCAAGGAGAGTGTCTGGGGGACGATCTGCTAAAGCTTGTCCGTAAATATGGGCTTCTAGACAGAGTATGTAGTAACAAATTGACCCTCTAGGGGGCAGTGCCACTTTTGATGGGAGATGAGCATAGACTGTAGGCAAATAAGAAAAAGGAAACGGTTCTATGAGAGAACATGTCGCCGGTGAGACGCAAGTCCAGGAAGAACGGAATAAGGTAGAAACACATTTTTTTTCCTGATGAAAGAAGAGAGTCTACTCTTTCTTTTGGTGTGTTCAGTGTTTACATAGTCATAGCACAAACTATTCTGTGGCTCTAGAAAAATCAGTCAAAATGCTCAAAAAACTCTGGCAGTATGGGACTCTGTTCTGAAAATGGCTGCCAGTCAACGAGTTAATAAAAAAATGTCACTTTAGTTTGGTCACATCATGCATTTCTGTATCAGAACCAACAAAGTAATCGTCATCATTTGTATAGGTATTTGGTCAATTCAACCAACAGCTGAAATATGACAAAGTCTGTTCCCATGAAATCTAATTTTAGGGATAAGCGGCTCGGTGTGAAGCAGATTTATTCAGTCTTTTGTTTTATACACCAAGTGTGGCGGAACAGATGTTTCTGTTGATATGTTGATGTGTGCTGGGCTCTTTTGGAGAGGGCGGCCTTCATAGTGGAACCACCAGAAACGCAAAAAAGCAGCATAAACAGGAAACAGCAGAAAGTGCTAATCCGTTTTTGAGTAAATACCAGTAAAGAGTTTTAGAAATATATATGTGTCAGGGGGGTGGGTCTTAGGGAGGACTCGGGTGCGGAGAGGGTTGGTTCCAGGGGTTTTATTGGAACAAAAAAAAACACTCAAACGGAGTGGGTGTAAAGACAAAGGCTGTGACAAAACTATGAACAAAGTATCAACGTAAGATCAACATGGCTGTGAACAAAACATGGCTATGGCACAAAAAAAAAAACAAGACTGTGGCAAAGGTGCAAAAATCTAAATCTTACATGACGTGGGACCAAGGACACGAAAGCAGAAAGACGAAAACACACTGGCCCAGGACATGGGAAACGAGGACTATTTGAACACATGAGGGAGGGGAACCCCAGGTGAACACAATAGGTAATCAAGACATGACAACACACCAGACATTCCCCCTGACGTGACAATATGAATATCTTCAAATCTAAATTAAATTGCACAATCAGCTGAATTTTAGAGCATTTCCCTTAAACAGCCTTTAATGCAACAGATTGTTGTATTAATTGTTTTACTTACGTTAAGAAGTCTGTGCACAGCTTTAGGAGTAGTGAGGAGTCCCCGAACTCGATCGTGGACCTCCTCCCACGCTCTGTGAGGACTGCACTCCAGCCTGAGCAACAAACTGAAACTCAGCCACAAGTGAGAGACACTTTTCTGAGGACCAAATTTGTCCCAGAACAAACCTGATGTGAGCGGGCCCTTTTCTATAGGGCCGCTGTAGTTCTGAGGGGCGAGGACCACGATGACTGTCAGAGAGCTCCTGTGTTTCCAAAGACATGGGATCACCTTCAGGTATTTCACCAACCTGCCAGAGCAAATGGGAGGAAGTGTATATTACAAATAGAACTGAGTAGACTAAATTACTCACAGGCCACAACTTCTTTTTAAAGAGAATGGTGAAAAGAAATAGTTACCAAACCACTGGAAAACGAGTTTCTTCTGGTTGGGGAATATCTGCCTATATCAGAGAAATAAAGAAACACAAACAAAACATCTGTATTTGGTGACAGGGTGCTGGGCATCAGCTAGGTTTATATATATATCATCAAAAGAACAGTTTGACACATTGTGTCATCACTAAACAAATGTCATGTAAAGACCTCTACCTGTGGTGGAAGGCTTGGTCAGATGAGAAGAGGAGCTGGTCAACCATGCAGACTGTCCGGTTCCAGGCCAGGAATTCAGCAACTGGGACAATGAGGACACAATTAGTCAACTTCTAGAGGGTCTGCCACTCAGACTCTGGCTGTAGGCCAGCAGGACGGCCGTGTGGGGTGTGTCCATGGGAGGTTCTTGTCGCTCACGCAGTGGCTGATTCAGGTTTAGCTATCAGAACTAAGGCGTTACTTGGGATGAACCTTACTGGAACCAGAAGGAGGACTGTAAGTGCAAGCACTTATGACTATCAGCAGCACAGAGACAGACCTGTTTGCCATGGGGATGTTTTTAGGATCCCAAAGCCTGGTGCTCTCACCACTGCTTCAGAAGACTCCGCCCCTGTGGTCTGCGAAGCCCACTCACAACACACACATCTCCACAGCCAAGTCAGATCACAACAGCTTCCTCAGTTTGAGCTTCTCATTGGCTCCCTGTTCTGCTCCTCACACATAGAGCTCTGAATGAGCAGCTCCAGCATTTCTGACAGAGCTAATAGCCGTATATTTTCCCAGCAGAGCTCTTTGCTTTCAGACAGCAGATCTACTTGTGGTTCCTAGAATTTATGGAAGTAGAACAGGCGGCAGAGCTTTTAGATGGGAGTTCAGTAAGCAGACCTCCTCTCTACCCTCCACCTTTAAGATCGGGCTTCAAGCTTTCCTTCTTGATAAAGCTGATAGTTGGGGATGGCTCAGGCCCCCAGAAACATCCCATAGATCTGCTGCTCTAGGCTCAGGCTGCTGGAGGAGCTTCCATGATGCACCTTTTGTCTTCTGTCTCTTTGTTTGTGCTTTTTTCTTCATGCACAGGAGATGCTGTTGCTGTAATTCATTTGTGTTTCTAACTTCTCTCGTACTCGTTATGCCCTTCCAGGGTCTGGTTCTGCCAGAGGTTTTTTCCTGTTAAAAGGGGGTTTCAATGCATTCTGCTGATATGCTCACCAAGGAACTTTTTCAAATTTATTCCAAACGAATTAGATGTTCTTGAAATTTAATGAACTGGACCTGGTTGGGCTTGGATTGCATTACAGTGAATCGGATTCCAGTTGACTTTAAATGGACTGGATTTTGAAGTGCCTGGAGATTACATTTGTTGTAATTTGGTGCTTTAATTGAGTGTGCATTATAGTAGTTTTTTTACTTTAAGACCTATAATATTAAAAAATAATGTTGGAACACTATAATGCTCCCATATTCTGTCAAAACATTCAGCTTTGATAACACCAAACACAACTGAAGCTGAGCATCAGTATTGGGTTTTCATTTTTTTTCAGCCTCTCAACTGTGGAAGGCCAGTGCTCACATCTGATTCAATTATTATCTTAATTTCCCTTCATTGTTAAAACTCGAATGCACACTGTTATGAGTAAGTGAAAGTTGTATTAATACTATTAATGTCTTCATGTATGGCATTTGTTTAATATGTGACAATATTGTATAATCTGGGAGTGTTAGTTTTCTTTTTTCGCCATCTAATGTGCTCCCTTTGTTCAAGTTTTTAAGTTTCAAGAGGATGATTGTTTGCATTATGCCAAGTTCTGCCCTTCCCCAGCAGAGGAGTCCTGGTGCTGATATGGTCTGCTTAACTTGTTTAAAACATCTGGTGGATTATTAAAGGTCAAATATTACCCAAAAAACGGTAGGCCTGTTAAACAGCTGGAATTAAGCTGTAATGAACAATATAGTTGTTTTAGCCCATATTAACCACAGTGTACACATTTTAAGAACTGGGGTTTTCTGTAACGTAAGCACTGTTGTCATGATCGTGTTTACATCAGGCTAAAAGCCACGGAATTCGCGTGGGCTATTTACCATCTCAAGTAAGGTTGTTACACGACAAATTTGCCATTTGTACAGAGGCGTTCAAACCAAATATCTTCTATAATGCAAAGAGCAGCTATGCAGTGAGAAAAGTCTAATTATGTCATTGTACTGTATTGTTTGTATTATGTAAGATAAAAGGTGAAGTCTACACCTAGGAAAAGCCTCACCTGTGGGCATAAGTGCTGCACAGGATGGCTCACAAAGCACTTCTCTGCCACCTGCTGACTGGGACTCATAACAAAAATGAAAAGAAGATAAATTGTGTGTCCTTACTGCTCGACATATGTCTCTTTCCACCGGGCGGGGAGTGGTGGAGTCTGAGCTAAGCCGGGCCGGATGCTGAGGGTTCCTGTCCCTCAGAGGGGACAGGGACAGGGATCTGGGCTGGTCTGATGAAGGCCAGACGATGCTCTCCCTCCCACGGTCAGCCCTGTCCCCGCGCTCCCCTCCACGGAGTGGAGGACATCTTGTTCTCGGTTTACTGGACCGCCTCGTGCTCTGCTTTCCAAATGGCTTCTAGAAACAAGGGAAGGGAACCACAAGATCCTTTTGAAGAGCACATATAGCAGCGGTGAATCACAGGCACCGTGGGAACAACAGGAGGTGGTTTAGCTGCGTATTCACAGCATTTGGAGCTCCAGCATGATGACACATTCAGTTTATAGATGATTGACTCACTGTAGTTTGATATAAGTGATGATCTTGTATTTATCGTATGAGAACAGCTTGTTAATCTTTCCATGCATTTTACATAAAAGATGTTGTCCTTTTTTTTTTTACCATGGGTTTATTTGGGTAAACCTTGACCTCAGCATCAGGTGAGCACTCAGTGATGGTTGTTTTGGTGGTGAACTCCAACCTCGGAGCAATACCCTTGAAGGAATGTTAAAAAAGATCAATAAATCCGTTAGACGCAAGTGTAGGTTACATTCTGAAACTAGAAGTTGTTTTTTTCGTACTACTAACAAATACAGTTTACTTTACTCTATGTGTCCAGTGGCTGGGACCTACAAGAAAATGAGGTGCTCTGCTCATCAGAACCTCTCGATCCACTCCAGAGAAGGGGCGAACAAGCTTGGGTTCTGGAAATAAAAAACTTTGAGCATCTTCTTCAAAACAAGCCAGAGTGTCCCCCACTGCAAGAGAAAATTGGTTCATGAAATAACAATGAACAATAATAACTACTATTACCGTATTCTCAATCATTGGGGAGATGAAAAGAGAAATATACAATATCCTGGTTTACACCATATTCAGAAGTGGTCCATATTCTTCAAAATATAATATACAAGCATGATCATCTTTGAAGTGATATAGAAATTTATTTAAATACCAATTTCCTAAACCAATTATTGCCTGAACAAGTGACACAGTAATTATGATTACATGTCAATTAGGCAGGAAATCTGATGAGTAAGACAAAAACTGAAGGTTAAAAGAAATAACAAAAACAAACCATGAGGTGGACAACCACCAAACTAAACTAAAAAATAAAGGTCTAAAAACAGAGGCTACAACATACAGGAGACAAAGAAAAGTGAAAACCATGGTTAGGAAAGTTTAAAAGCAGTGAGGGAAGTGATATGTGATTGATTTCAGCAGAGGACAAAGAACAGGGGCGTGGATCTGATGACTAGATAGGAGAGAACTAAGAAAAACCAAAGAAGAAAGAAGAAAGAAAATAGCTAAAATAACACAAACTGAGCAAAGGGAAAACCAAATCAAACCAGAGCAGACACAAAGAGAATGACTAAAATAAAACAGAATAAATCAAACAAATCACAAAATATCTGAGAAATGAAAAAGAAATAAAAAGTCCTCTGGCTCCTTGTGAATTACAGCGGTGTGTGTTTTTCTCATTTCTGACTTTCAAAGTGAGTTGTAGCACCTGGAGGCTCATAATTCCAAAATAATGAGCTATAAACCATAATGAATCCAGTTAGAAACGGGGTGCCAGTTTAGAGGGGCTGCTGCTGGACATGTGCTAGCTTCTGATTGAGTCGGATACTCGGAATTGGATCATGAAAATGTGAGCCTGACTGTGGATTCTTTTTAAAAGGTCAGAATTGGACCATTTTATTTAAAGACAGACGTGTGAGGGTGAATCATTCTTCCGGGACATGTTCCACACTGCGTTTTACTCTGCACGATTACAGCCCCCAATCTGAAAGCCCATCGTAGTTAATTAAAGCAATTCATCTCTCCATCATACTGATGAGTTAATTATATCCGTTTTGATTAATAAATGTATTCGGCATGCCAATTAGGAGCGATTCCCTCTCCCCCTGTGTATGTGAGAGTACCTGGAGGCATCATCTGCACCAGCTCTATCCGGACTGTCTCATCTGTGGAGAGGGAACAAGTTTAGACCTCACAAAGCATTTCTATAGTACAGAACAATCTACAGGCTCTCTACTGTCGGTCAGTACTGATAACACAAAGTGTCACACAAGTGGCTTTTAACTTTAACAAAGAATGTGTTCTCTATTGACAAAATTTACATTAAGGCAGTACTTGGTCTCTGCTGGTCCTCCATACTTTTGTTTTTCTCTATACAATAACACTGATTAAAATACTGAGGGAGATGTTAGGTTAAGCCTTTTGCCCAAGGGGACTTTAACATGAGGAAGGGCAGGTTAGGAACTCCAGGTTTTCAAGCCATTTAAGTGGACAAACCATTACTCAAGCACTGATTTGATCAACCTGTGCCAACCTAGGTGAAGATTTTTTTTCTTTCACATGCACACAGAGGCCTGTAAGGAGGTTCAGTGAATGTCTGAGGAAGACAGCACTTCTAGCACCTGAGCCATGGTGAACCCCATGAGAGTGCTGGGACATTATTTAAACCAACACCATCATAATGCCTTTGCCTGCTAGGGACCTTGAAATATTTCATTAAAACTATTTGAAGGTACCAGCAAATTAAGTTTTTCTTAATCAAGGGAATAGTTTTAATGATACGAACCTCAACAATGTCATAAGGATTTGGAGTGCATCACATTGTGTCATACATCATGATTAAGTATTGTGAATGGATGTTATAATTGTCAAATCAATCTTACTGAAAAGTGAGACCGGGAACTGCCAAACACCAATAAAAACCAGCGAACAGATATCGGCACACTCATCTTTCACTTACAGGCAAGCATGAGAGTGATGTCTCTGGGGTCGACAGCGTGTCGGAAAATCTGCAGAATTAAGAACAAAGCTTGTTGTGTTGTTGAATTTCCCTTAATCACTGCTCAACATTCCACGTATGTACTCATTCTATCAGGGATGACCTGTTTGGAGCATGTTAAACATTCTTTTTTAAGGTCTTTTAGGCAGTTGTGGTCTTAATTTGAACGGTTATACAATCAATGGGGCGCAGAGAGAGATGAGGAAGACATTCAATAGGCCCCAGGTAAAAATTGGAAGACGTTTGACGTTTCAATTAATGTTCAACCTGCTCTGCTCCGCTACATAAGTCTTTCACAGCACAATAAGTGAGACAGAACATCTAAGCCCTAGCTGTGCGTCTTCTACGTGGAAAAGAGGTAAACATGTGCCTTTTCAAAAGTCATCTTCTCGTGGATGAGCAGAGGGAAGACAGCAGGGAGACTTTCAGACTGGCCACACTGGCCCATGAAGGAAACGCTGAGGTATAAATCATCTTTGGCTGGTAGACGAACTCCAGGACAAGAAACCTGGGAACAAAGAAGGAACATTTCAGTACTTCATATTTTACTTTCAATGAAGCACAGTATGTATTGTTATTTTAAATGTATATTGTTTTGGATTTACAATCATAGAGCAAAGGAAAGGGATCCAATTATATATATTTACAATATGTGCTACCATTATCATTGTTAGAATAAAAGATAGTTGTCAGGTAAGACCAGCTCACACAGGTATAAGTTTATCCTTTTTGAGTTAATCTAATTAGCGATATTGTTCAGCTGGCGTACAAAGAATGAACCTAGGATTAATTGAAATAAAGGAGAAATGTCATGCAGATCAGGGGAACCCTTGAAGAAAATTTGATTATCAAACAATAAAAAGGGGGCTGGAACTCATTGATTCTTTTTTAATTGTTTCTTTTTAATTTTATGATGAGACAATATGATGATTAAATAAAGGTCAGTCAATTTCAGAGATGGGTCATTAACCTTTTATTCCTTTATTAATTTGTAACAGAAGATTAAAAAATAGATATTGAGAAGTTGCTAGAGGACAGAAAAGCAGATTCAGGTCAATATTATGTCAGATTGTGAAATAGCGTAGTAGTGCCCACTGGCAAACATCATGCTTTAACCCTAATATTACATATTTATTAGGTTTCTAAGATGCATTCCACCACCATAAAATCAACACTTTGTTTTAAAAGAATGTTATATTCAATCTTTTTTTTTTTTTGCAATGACCTATGTCATTTTCCATGTGAGGTTTAATTCCTAAACCCTTATATGTTAACTATTTAATGACTAAAAACTCTAAGCTAATTAGACATCAACTCTAACTGACTATCAGTTCTTGATCATGCCAACATGAGTCAGATAGAGGGGCCAAACTGAATCCAAAATCAGCCCAGTGCCCCAACGACTCTAAAATGGTTTGTTTTTCAACTTATCATTAAAATAAAATTTAAAAAAATCCAATGGAAATCTAAATTAAGAATAAAGTCAAATAAAAAATAAAATAAAAATACGATAAAGACAGACTTTACATTAAATTTGCATGAATCTATACTGCATTTTCGCGGCACAACATTAAAAATGGCGGCGGAGAGAGTAAACAGTTCTTACCGCTCTCAGGCCTACTTCAGCCATCACTTTCAGCGCTCTCCGCGACATTGGAATCCTATTTTATTTAATTAAAAAATGCTATGGAGGCGCAGCTTCTGCTCTTCCTGTTTGGTGTCCCCTCCGGCTGTTACCATGGAAACTGCTGTTTCCGGGTTTGGTTGCTGGAGCAACCGGCGATCCTCGTCCCGTATCGATCACTTTAAAGGACCAGTTAACAGTATAGTAATGTCACACTCTCCCAAAAGATTCATTTGTTGAACAATTGATTGGAATCTAGCTTTATACAGATAAAACCAGTAATATATTTAACATAAATATCTATTTGTTTCACAACATTTTTTTCAATGCATTTAGAAAGGATTCAGTTTCAAAATGTCTAGAGTCCTTGTTGCAGCATTATGGTAAACTATTGCATTCCTAAATGCAATATAGATAGATAGATAGATAGATAGATAGATAGATAGAATGGCTAAAGACAGAATAATAAAAATAAAATAAAAAATTCTTTAGATAACTAACCTCTTGTCAGTTGTCTGAAATGACTCATAAATTTAAGTCCAACTAAAATTCACAAGTACACATGTCTAACCAAGTCCATCTTATTTTTTCTTAATGTGTTTTCCATGACATAACATATTCATCTCAGTATATTGAATAGTTTATATATTTGTGTTGAAGTATAACAGTTTAATTATAAACTTGTGTCTGGTCTTAATTGTGTGTGTGTGTGTATATCTATCTATCTATCTATCTATCTATCTATCTATCTATCTATCTATTTGTATATGGCTTGTCCTTGTGCTGGCTTATCTACTTTGCTTAGGCTGGAGGCTTACAAAAATAAATAAATAAAAAATTATCTATAAAATCAATGAAAAACTTTCACATAAACAAACACCACACTGGGGAAAAAGTGTTCAATCGTCATATTTATGCTGCTTGCAAAGTTTTCACTTGAATGGATCCTTTGGCACACGTCTGACAGCTTTAGTTTTCAGGTTCAAATAAAAATAGAAGTGAAGTTATTCCCGTCAATGCGATAATTAGCAAAATTAAAAATTCTAAGTGAATCACTGAAGGAAAGTAAAACCTTTCTATAAATATCAAATAAAAAAAAAATACAACTGTCAAACAATCTAAACAAAATTTTCACTCATTTTCACAGCCGATTCATGTCAAACAAAAAGGATTTCTCATTGCGTTAGGCACTGGAACTGCGCACGCCATTGTCCTCCGGCACTTTGGGCTCCGCCGGCTCCGTGTCAGACTCTGAACCGGAGTCTTCGTCCTGTTTTTCCTGAGCGTTTGTGCCGTCCGGATTGAGGACCACCACTCCTTTTCTCTGAGGAAGGACAGAGAAGAAGGCCTCCTGCCAGCTGTCCTTCTCCAGGTAGGCCAGGATGATCTCGAACACTGCCGGGCAGAGGAGAGCACGCTTTCAGAGGGAGGAACGAGGAGGAGGAGGAGGAGGAGAGCAGCAGAGACAAAGCTGGAACACAAGTCCAGTTCAAAGTAGAGATTTGATGCATTGTCTACTTTTTGTTGACTAAATATGCAGATATGAGGAAAATGGTGGTTCTAATCAATGGCAATTTGTAGGGTTGTCAAAAGTATCGATACTCCAAAAAGTATCGATACTAAAATGTTGTATTCGGATACGATACTCATTTTCAAAAGTATCGATACCAATCCCCCCCTGCATGCGCGCGCGATGCTAACCTTCCGTCGCGGCGCCCCTTCTCTCAGATTTATTTATGTATTTATTTAGGTTGTTTATGATCATGAACAAGACGTTATCTTTGAATTGCTAGCTGCGGCTAATGGCTAATAATAACACGCCAACATTAATCAAGTACATATCCGAGTCCGCCCACATCGAAGTCGGCCATTTTAATTACATCACCAATAGGAAGATTCCAGGCAAGAAAATCCTAATTGCTTCATGGCAATATAGAGATTCATTTAAAAATTGTGAAATTAATCAAACACTTAATTAAACTCTATACATATTATTATGTTAAAATAGTGGATGTTAAATAGGTTTGTACAATAAGTCCAAAGAAGTGTAACCAAAAAATATTTATTTCTCACAATTATGAAGGCTGGAGGGTTAGGGTTAGGATTAGGTTTAGGGTCAGGGTTAGGGTTAGGGTTAAGGTCATTAATGCAGGCCACCAGTCACGACATCATCACTAACAGGTCAGTTTGAAATGACACTAACCTGTCAAAATTCATTTAAATTTTGGGGTCTTTTTTTTTATCCTTGTGGTATCGAAAATGGTATCGAGTATCGAGTATTTTCCTGAGTATCGGTATCGAGTTGAAAATTTTAGTATCGTGACAGCCCTATAAATTTGTATGTGTTAACACTACAAAGATGTGGGTTAAGAGGCTTGGAGAGATTTTTTTTAAATGTAATTGTTCATCTGAATCTCTGCGGCTGAGTTAAGGATTCATCAGGAATTCTTCTCTTAGGAAATACACTAAACTTTGGAATATGCTACGTGTGAAGAAAGTTGAACCGCTGCTCACAAACGACCTGCTGGCTCTCGGTCCTCACCGTGGTTGACCGCCAGAACCTTCCGGCTGTTCATCTTGACGAAGCTGCCCAGAGGAAGCTGCGCGTGCTCCACCCCCAGCTCCTTCGCCCTCTGGAACGTAATGCCCTGAAAAGCAAATACCTGCAGTTAGCCGGAACGGAAGCGGTAGCAGTAAGGGAGGGGGGGGGGTGCACGCGGCGCCTGTCGGACCTTGTGGTGGTTGTGGTCCACCAGGCCCCCGATCACGTAGGCCTTGTTCTGGTCCAGCTCCTGCAGCACGTTGGGGGAGTCTGAGGTCAGGTACACCAGCTCCTCTTTGGCCAGCACTTCACTGTAGTGCTCCGTCCGGATGTTAATGTCCTGCACACACACACACACACACACACACACACATTCTTGTAAGTACCTCAGACTGAGGACCAAGTATAAGGACTCACAAACTGAGGACCAGTAGTTCTGAGCGTCTTAGAAAGATTGAGTTTTCAAATTTCAAACACACACACACACACACGCGCACGCACACACAAAGTGAGGACCAGGAAAATGTCCTCACTTTCAAAAAAAGACCTCACTTTGTTGGTTAAAAACTACTTATGGTTCTCACTCTGATGCGGCAACAAGAGAACACACGCACATACACACACACAATAAAGTGAGGACCAGGAAAATGTCCTCACTTTCAAAAAAAGACCTCACTTTGTTGGTTAAAAACTACTTATGGTTCTCACTCTGATGCGGCAACAAGAACACACACACACACACACACACACAGAGTTTAAACGGGTCTCCTGTCCTGTGAGCAGGCCATCGCTGACCTCACCGGTGCTGTGTGAGGGAACATGTCCACTATCTCCACTGTGCACCTCCCTGAATTTAAATAGTGTCATTTCAGTTCAGATTTCAACATGACAGAATTACACGCATCGCCTCAAACTGCCCCCAGATTTGAAGCCAACGGCCCCTATTTCGT